CGTAACCACAATGAATATAAACAGATATTGATGTTAGATTTCGTGTAGTTTTAAATACTCCTCTTATGACTTTTTACATAAAGAATGTAGCATCCTATGTTAATGCAGCTTACAACTTTGTATGTACGTATATTAATCTAACTCCCATCCACAGTTCTGGAGCTCAGAAATAGTCCGAAAGATATCCCTATTTATATGGTGTACCGGGAAGAAGGGGGATAAAACGCCCCATGAAGGTAACCGAGGTATAATGACGTATAAGGATAAGTTTTCGGGGTCGTTGAACCTAGATCTGACATCGGATTTGTGGTCTTGACTACCACTGGGATCTTTGGGTCGCCATATTAACGAAACTGCGTTCATACCATCACAAACAGCCTAGTGGAAACAAACGTGTCTAGGTATCATTGGGCGAGCGTCCTACAAGTTTTCTTTTCGAGTACATTGAAGTCTTTGAGGAACATGAGAGTGAGCCTTTGAGCCTCTCAATTGACATTCCTGATGTTCAGGTACATACTGTATATATATATACACATACCATACTGTGAGTACAATAGTAAATTATACTGGCGTTGCAAATGGTTACGAAATTTGAGACCTCAATGGCAATTTAAGCGCACTTGGGCTAAATGGCCAGAATAGTGAGCCTGCGAGTCAAGTTTAGTTTTCCATAAATTTCATCAATGGACTAGAGAGGGAACAGTTCTTTAATTAGTATAACGGGACTGACTGCCATTTTTATAATGTGTTCTGTACTGTAAGTGCATCACGACAAGTTGCCTACAGGGTTACGCCCTACCTAAATAATCATTACTTAAAAGAGATACTTTAAAAAGTGATATAAGTTCTAAACGATCTATTCACAAAGTTGTGAGAAAAGCCATTTCTAACTAAAGTTTCAAATTTTTCTCTATAAAGAAACAAAACTCTTTATTTCTGTTTCATTACTTTTATTGTACGTTTTAACATTACCTACAAACCTAATGTTGCATGAAGTCTATAAGATGTGAATTCTTGTTTTGAATGATGTTAAACTGCTACATCAACGTTTAAGTTTATAATGTTTAATTAACCTACTTACATGAAACGTTGAATGTTTCGGAGTAGCAAACATTATAAATAGGATTTAGTACATTATATTAAAACGATCTCGGAACCTCAACACGTCACTACAGTCCATGTCGCCACTTCTGGTCATGCTGTATCCGATGAATATGAATCTTAAAAATAGCCTTCCAATGTAGTTTTCATAGCAAAAGGCTTCGTCGTAAGGCTATGATATTCAAAGCACACCACTCTTCCCTTCACGTTTTCCATAATTCATCTAATATAGGATGACAAAGGTTTCCTTGCGTCCGTTTTAACATTAACAATCGCAAAGAAATCCCTTGTCACTACGTCCGGAGACTTGACCTGTACGTCTTCGTATACAATATTATGAATATCCGTTTCATTTTCCGACTGCTTGATTTATGTGGCGATTGTACGGGAGGTATGACTGGAAGTCTTATCTTGGTGAACCGATACCCTATTGGCTTCTTTTTTGCATAAAAATACTCCGTGATTATGCTGCCTGCACGTAGACGACTTTTGCCACTGACCTTTATTTCGTGGATTCTCATCTGTTACAAGAAACTGCACTTTGCTTACCATGGCTGGGTACGACTTCTTACAGGTCTCTTTCTGGTACCCCTTGTTGATGAATATTCGTCAGTTTTCCAATGACAGTAAGTACAAAGGATTTCCTGTTCTTGGAAATTCTAAATTCCCAATCTCAACTGATTAAGGCCTTCGACTCTCAATCTGAGGGTCGTGGGTTCCAATCTCCGTCACCGAGCATGCTTGCTCTTTCAGCCGTGGGGGCATTATAAAGTGACGATTAATCACTCTATTCGTTGGTAAAAGAGTAGCCCAAGAGTTGGCGGTGGATATGTTGACTAACTGCCTTTTCTCTAATCTATCACTGCTAAATTAAGGACGGTTAGCACTGATAGTCTTTGTATAACTTTGCGCAAAATTCAAAACAAACCAAACCCAATCTCAATACATCCTTATGGTCTGATTTTACCAATACTTTGCTTTAAAATGGGCTGTAAAAAGTGGTTAGTTTTTTATCACACCATA